AGTCAGTGTAATATTGTCCGTCAGTGTAATGTTGGGCTGAATCCAGGCAGTGAGTCTGTCTGTAAGAGACTTCAGTCTCAACGGCTATTCAATACCTAATTACTCTCCTAATTTACTAAGAACGCAGTCTGACGCATTGATTTGTGATTACTGTAAATAATACAGACACGTCTGAAGCTGAGCTCATTTTCCTTTGGCAGCTCTAACGGATATCAGACATTAAAACAATAGGCCGTGCTTTACAGTGAATATAATATTTGAATGGTTTTATTTGTATACATCTTAGAAATCAGCTAAATAAAAGAAAAGAGAATATGGTAGTTAAAGATAGAAAAGCAGTTCTCTTTAAATACAGGTAAAATATAGATATAACACAGTGTTAAAAATGTATTAATTAGCTATATCAGTATGACTGTATTGGTTTCAGTTATTTTTTATGTATGCATTTATGTATCTATTTGAATGTTTTATTGTTACATTTTTAATTATTTATTTATTTTTATAAAAAAAAAAATAGGTTGAATTTTAACAAATGGTTGATATTAGATAAACATGTCACAGATAGTTTTTTTTTTCCAATTTAAATCCAGGGTAATTTGAGTTTGGAATGTTATACGTCAATACTCTCTGTTGGTTATTACTGAAAAAAAATCTCTTTAAATACAAATAAAATATAGATATAACACGCTAATGATAAAAAGTGTATTAATTATATCAAATTGACTAATTATTTTTTATGTATTATTTAAAAAAATATTTGTATTGTTTAATGATAACATTTTAATTATTTTATTTTCTTAATCATTAATTGTTATTTTTATTTTTTAATTAGATTGAATTAATTATTTTTATTGTAATATTTAATCTAATATTTTTATTTTATACAACTTGTAAATCAGCTAGACATAATCAATAGCAAAGGGCAAGTTCAGGTAGAAAAGTGCTTTGCTTTAAATAGAACGTCCTGCTCTTTTTAAAGATTACTTGTCATCTCATCACATTAATCATCTCTAGACGCACTAATTCAGTCTTCCTTAAATAACTCAGAAATGACCCACAGTGACCCTGCAGTTTGACAAAGCAAATCACCTTGGCTCTCGTCATTGTTTTATGAAAGCTGACGGCGTGAGTAGTTATTGGCGTATCACCCTGCGCTTTCAGAGTCAGTGTGCTGGAAAATCCTATACAATGGGTAGTAAAACTTTATCTTTTCTATTTACCAGGTTCAGTGTGGGAGAAGTCAATACGACAGATTGGCTTCGAGAGGTGAGTCCAAGCGCTTATTTTAATCACAAGCCTATAAACCGCCTTAGAAACATTTTATGAAGGTTTCATTTCATGCCTGTTTATCAAACTCTCACATGTTGCTATTGTGAAAGGTTTTTAATTGGAAATGTTTTTACTGCGTGAAATCTCTTGGCCTGTCTTTTACAACTGCTTCTTTATAGAAAGACACAGAGTTTTTATGGAAAGCTTTGAGGAGGAAAGGAGAAAGTATTGTCGCTATCAGAACTTTGAGAGCAGTTTTGTGTCATTAACTGTGTTGGAAATGGAATCGCATACTAAATATTCTGCAGTATATACTAAATACTGTTAATTATGCACATTATATACATTATGAAGTTTCAGAGATGTTTTAATGTTTCGAAACAAGTCTCTTCTGCTCACCAAGGCTGCATTTCTGTAAAAAAAAATACAGTAAAAACAGTCAAATCAAGTAACTGCTTTCTGTGTAAATGTATGTTAAAAATGTAATTTATTTCTGTGCTGTGCAGCTGAATTTTCAGCATCATTTCTCCAGTCTTCAGTGTCACGTGATCCTTCAGAAATCATTCTAATATGCTGATATGCTACTCAATAAACATTTCTTATTATTATCAATGTTGAAAACAGTTGTGCTGCTGAGCATTTTTGTGGAAAACCTGAAGCGTTCTTTGATTAATATAAATTTCAATAGAGCAGCATATATTTGAAATAGAAATCTTTTGTAACATTCTAAAACTAAAAAAAATCTTACTGACCCTAAACATTTGTTCATACTGTGCCCAGTGCATATACTTCATACTGCAGAATCAGGAAGGGGGCCAACACTTTTTCACACCACTGTATATGCTATGAGTAAACAGTCTGCTGTTCTGAACATCTCAGCTGCTTAATCTCATTGATTTGCTTTGAAAGAAAGAGTGATAATTTCCCAAGGGCAGTTCTTTTCCACCTTTCAGTCAGATATTGCAAAAAAAAAAAAAAAAGGTTATATAACAGTGAAATGAAACCATGTTGCAGACAGACGTTTGGGAGCCCATGGTTTGGGTTAATGAAGGACAAAGGATGTCCTTTGAAGGTGTGTGATATTTAGTTACAGGACAACTGGTCCTGTGTGCTGAATAGAATTAAAATAGTTTATTTAATGAGGTATCAAATGTTTTGATATCTAAAAGTGCTTGATGGATGGTTGGTACTTTGTTTTGGTTTCTGTGGCGTTGCTGTAAGTAGCCCCACCCACAATATAAAGCTCCACCCATTACTATGAGTAGCTCCGCCCACTGTGTCATCCCATTATGACTTACAACTGTACATTAAACGTCAGATATTTTTCTGATTGCTGTGATGTGCAGCAGTGTCACGTTTAGTGTGGACAGAGATGGTTAGGACATCATAAGATGTTTTATGTCAATGTCAGCATTATTATTATTATTTTTTTTTTAATGTCTATATAGTTTTTATAGATTTTATTTGCCAAATATTGTCCTATCCTAACAAACCAGACATCAATAGAAAGCTTTATTTATTCAGCTTTCAGATGATGTATAAATCTCAATTTTTAAAAAAGTTGACCCTTATGACTGGTTTTGTGGTCCATGGTCACATTTTAGTTGTTTTAGTAATTGCACATAATTTACACTAAATGAAAATGAGAAACTTGCTGAAAATAAATAAATAATAATAATAATAATAGTTTTAATAAAATGTCTAATTTTGCATATAATAATAATAAAAATAGTTTTAAAAAATATGTCTATATAATTTTACACGTTTTGATTTCAGTTTTAGATATTTTTACACAAGTTACACAAATTAAAATGAGAAATGTTGGCAACTAGCTGAAAATAAATAAATAAATAATACTAATCAATAATAATAATAATAATAATAGTAATAATAAATAACATCAATATATAATTATGATGATGACTATTATTATTATTAGTAGTAGTAAATAAATAATAATAAATACATAGCATTTTAGTTTTTTATCTTATTTTATTTCAAGTAACGAAAGTGTTTTTTCATTTATTTTTTATTGTATTTTGTGTGTGTGTGGTTTTAGTTAAATAAAATAACTCTGGTCTATGTTTTTTGTTGTAAAACCTAACATTATCAGCCAAAATAATAATAGAAAAAAACATTACCATTTAGTGATATTAACCTTTCGAATAGTAGTACAGCCCAGTGCAACTAGTTTTACGATACTGTAAGGGTATTGTTTTCCTTATGTTTATTCCCAACACACAAAATCACTTAGAAGCGTGTAATATCTTGCACACTTAAGAGGGATGTGTTTTCAGTTTGAAGTACTTCAGCAAACAGAGACAGATAACATTACGCTCCACTTACGCTGCGGCCAGCTGTCTGCCATCCAGCAGTGCGGCTCCAAACTTCAGCCTCCAAGCCAAACCCAATTAAACCTGACCCACTGTTGACAGCCTGATTTTTCAAGGCCTGTCTTGATATTTGTGTGCGCTGGCCTGACTGTGATTCTGTTAAGGAAATGAAACCATGTTGCAGACAGACGTTTGGGAGCCCATGGTTTGGGTTAATGAAGGACAGAGGATGTCCTTTGAAGGTGTGTGATATTTAGTTACAGGACAACTGGTCCTGTGTGCTGAATAGAATTAAAATAGTTTATTTAATGAGGTATCAAATGTTTTGATATCTAAAAGTGCTTGATGGATGGTTGGTACTTTGTTTTGGTTTCTGTGGCGTTGCTGTAAGTAGCCCCACCCACAATATAAAGCTCCACCCATTACTATGAGTAGCTCCGCCCACTGTGTCATCCCATTATGACTTACAACTGTACATTAAACGTCAGATATTTTTCTGATTGCTGTGATGTGCAGCAGTGTCACGTTTAGTGTGGACAGAGATGGTTAGGACATCATAAGATGTTTTATGTCAATGTCAGCATTATTATTATTATTTTTTTTTTAATGTCTATATAGTTTTTATAGATTTTATTTGCCAAATATTGTCCTATCCTAACAAACCAGACATCAATAGAAAGCTTTATTTATTCAGCTTTCAGATGATGTATAAATCTAAATTTTTTAAAAAGTTGACCCTTATGACTGGTTTTGTGGTCCATGGTCACATTTTAGTTGTTTTAGTAATTGCACATAATTTACACTAAATGAAAATGAGAAACTTGCTGAAAATAAATAAATAATAATAATAATAATAGTTTTAATAAAATGTCTAATTTTGCATATAATAATAATAAAAATAGTTTTAAAAAATATGTCTATATAATTTTACACGTTTTGATTTCAGTTTTAGATATTTTTACACAAGTTACACAAATTAAAATGAGAAATGTTGGCAACTAGCTGAAAATAAATAAATAAATAATACTAATCAATAAAAATAATAATAATAGTAATAATAAATAACATCAATATATAATTATGATGATGACTATTATTATTAGTAGTAGTAGTAAATAAATAATAATAAATACATAGCATTTTAGTTTTTTATCTTATTTTATTTCAAGTAACGAAAGTGTTTTTTCATTTATTTTTTATTGTATTTTGTGTGTGTGTGGTTTTAGTTAAATAAAATAACTCTGGTCTATGTTTTTTGTTGTAAAACCTAACATTATCAGCCAAAATAATAATAGAAAAAAACATTACCATTTAGTGATATTAACCTTTCGAATAGTAGTACAGCCCAGTGCAACTAGTTTTACGATACTGTAAGGGTATTGTTTTCCTTATGTTTATTCCCAACACACAAAATCACTTAGAAGCGTGTAATATCTTGCACACTTAAGAGGGATGTGTTTTCAGTTTGAAGTACTTCAGCAAACAGAGACAGATAACATTACGCTCCACTTACGCTGCGGCCAGCTGTCTGCCATCCAGCAGTGCGGCTCCAAACTTCAGCCTCCAAGCCAAACCCAATTAAACCTGACCCACTGTTGACAGCCCAATTTTTCAAGGCCTACCTTGATGTTTGTGTGCGCTGGCCTTACTGTGATTGTATTAAGTGCGGTTTCCTGAGTACGGGAATCTCCACCTGCACCGTTTTCCAAGCAGCGCTGGTCGGATGGCTCGATTCACCATAAGTGGCAGGAAGTTTGGCTGTAAACTGTTTATACTCCTAATTGACCTGTTAGTTGAGCGAAGGCATTTATCCGTGACATAACGGCCCGCTGATGTCTCTCTGCTCCGCCGACCGGCAGGGAATCATGAGCGAAATGAGTTGATGCAAGAATGATTGAGATGTGGATGTTTAGGGTCTGAAAATCATTGATAAGAGCCAATATTAAGAACATAATTTAGTGGAGGAGAGATTCTGAAGACACATCCACCAAAATGGAAATTAAAATGATGCCAAAAGATCTCGTAAAGCGGTTGTGTTTATGATATGCAACTCACAGTTCAAATTTATTAACGTATTTATTTTATTCATTTTATTTTATTTTTATTATTTTATTATATAATTATTTTATTCAATTTATTTTAAAATTCTCAGCCACCAATATGGAAATTATGGCAAAAGTTATTGCAAAAGAGGGTGAGATGCCTGGCAGTGTAGTTTTATTTACAATCTGCAAAAAAATCGCTCAGAGACATCAAAACAGTTGTATTTTATTTGATCTATTTTTATCTACTTGTTATCTATTTTTATTTTATTTTATTTTATTTTATTTTATTTTATTTTATTTATTTATTTATTATTTTATTTTATTTTATTTATTTATTTATTTATTTATTTATTTATTTGTTTGTTTGTTTGTTTGTTTGTTTGTTTGTTTGTTTGGTTGGTTGTTTGTTTGTTTGTTTGTTTGTTTGTTTGTTTGTTTGGTTGTTTGTTTGTTTGTTTGTTTGTTTGTTTGTTTATTTAATTTTTTATTTTTTTATTTTATCCACTTAAATGGAAATAACAGTTACTGCAAAAGTTTGTTTGTTTGTTTGTTTGTTTGTTTGTTTGTTTGTTTGTTTGTTTGTTTGTTTATTTATTTATTTATTTGTTTGTTTGTTTGTTTGTTTGTTTGTTTGTTTGTTTGTTTGTTTGTTTGTTTGTTTGTTTGTTTGTTTGTTTAATTTTTAATTTTTTATTTTATCCACTTAAATGGAAATAACAGTTACTGCAAAAGAGGCAGGGTTGCGTTGAGGTTTTTTTTCATTTTTTATTTACAATCTGCAAACAATCACTCTGCATTTCAATAAACTTACGGCAAAGAAAAAGGACATGCTAAAATAAATTCTAGACTTTTCATTTATTGTAAACCGAATACTTAAAATCCAGTAGTGACCTTTGTTTTTTAACTGATATATTGGCAAGTTTGGTGCAGATACAGTAAAATCAGCTGTTTACTCAAACATTGAGTCATGCTAACTTAATATTCCTCATATAGGACTGTATCGAACACATCTTGTGATGTCTGATGCCATATGAAACATGCATTTCTGTTGTATTTCTAGATGCATAATACACGCTTTAGTACTCCTGAAGCAACATATAGTTTCTGACCGGAGGAAATTATATATTGTATAAGCACATCAATCATCCATACATCTCCGATTATTGTGTTCACCATATGTTTTCCTTCATAATAGCATGAATAACTGCTTTTCATTGTTTGAATGATCAACAAAACACTGGCACCTTCATTCAGACCTGTTTTGACTAATGCACCCCACACTTCATTTCTCTCTTGTGTGAGTTTCAGAAGAACCCAGTATGTGTTTTATGAGAAATATTTATACTCTTTTAATATGGTGCAAGTCTGATTTTACTGAACTGGGTGGGGAAGCATATAAAACGGCACACAACAGATGTGTGAGAAGCTTGAGCTGGAAAATGCTGCCGGAAAAATCGGCATTCTCACAAATGTTTTCCGCCCTCACAGATGGTGTGCGGTTTAACGGGAATTCTGGCGACGCTAGTTTGTTTGTTATAGTCACGATCACCTGTAACACGTGAATACTGCACGTCTGCACTTCTGTTTAAAGAGAAATGTATGTGGAAGAATAATGCATATGCTTCAGTACTATGTGCTGTCTGTGTTTGTAGTGTTATCGGCGCAGACGCAGGCAATGGTATCCGAGTTTTCCTGCCGGACATTGGGATGTTCATGGCCGGTCTGTCCGTGTGGCTGCTGTGCAGAAAGCTGGTCCACAAGCGTCCCAGTGAAGAAATGGCCCAGGACAACCATGACTTTGAGGCCGAGGACAAGGTGGGTCAGGGTTCCTGCATGCCTGATGAATGACTCAAACACACACCTGCTCAACGAGTGACTCACTAGACACGTTTCAAACATCATGAGGAAATTTCATGGAAATTTGATAGATACATTCATGCACACGAATACTATTCATTAATTAATCATGAAAGTTATGCATTCATTTTTGTTAACAATTTTATTTTATAAAAATTAATAACTTAAATAAAATATATTAATTCTTTACTTACTAATACTACTACTACTACTACTAATAATAATAATCAATATTCTTCTAATTCTAATTCTAATTCTATTTCATATACCAGTTGAGCTACCAAATTTTTTTATTTTATTTGCAAAACTTTATTTATTTATAGTAATTACAATGCAGCAATACATATTATTTTATTAATAATAATATTAGTATGATATATAGCTAGTAGAACATATTTTATATATATATATGTATATTTACATTTAGTCATTTAGCAGACATTTTTATCCAAACACAGTAGTCTTTGGTTTACATTACACTCCCAGAAGATCTTCTAAATGTTTGTTTTGTCAACTCTAGAGGACACTGTATCGATTAGGCATAACCATGTTATATGCATCTGTATACCAGAAGACATTAATAAAGTTAAAGTTAATAAGAGACTTACTGGAGGTGTAAAGAGTTGCCTGTAGAGAAATGCTGTAGCTAAACGTTTACTGGTGTTTATGTGCTACTGTGAACAGGAAGTAGTTTCCTGTGCTGAAGGCCATACATATGGAGCCATTAAAACTAGATGATCTTATTGTTTGAGTGTGAGATCAGAGTTAATCTGAACCAGATTAAACAACTCTTAAACAGACAAATGTCCTTCAAATGCACTTGTGTACTGCTGACTGTGTAGTATGTACTGTTTACTGCCTAATATATTTGATCTAGTATATCAGGCAGTGTATAGTATGCAATGAAAAACATTAAGTCATGCATTTTTTGTTCTATTTTTGTACTGTCAATTGTATTTTTCATCTATTTTATTTCAAGTTAAAAAGTACTTTGTTTTATTTATTTATTTACTTAAAAACCATTATTAAAATTACTTATTATTATTATTATTATTATTATTATTATTATTATTATTGTCTGTTCCTTTGAAACCAAACCCAGTCTCAAACCCAACTTAATAATAATAAATTTAGTTACAATAATTGCAATTTATTTTAAATAATAAATTATTAAAAGTTAGTAAATTAATTAACTAAATAAATAAATAATTCATTTATTAACCTAATAATAATATTAATAGTAAAGATTGTTATTATTATTATTATTATTATTATTAGGACTTATAATACAATTTTTTCCAACACACACACACAAATTTTCATTACCTGAAATAAAATAAAATATAAAAAACTAAAATGCTTTATTTATTTAGTTAGTTAGTAATTAGTTAGTTATAAATATAAATTATTATAGACTAATAAAAATGACAAAAACACAACTAAATTACTAAAACTTTAAAAATTAAAATGTAAACAGAAAATATAAAAACATGAAACTGTTTATTTTTTATGTTTATTTTTAGTATTTCCATTTCAGTTCATTAACATTTATTAACGTTTTAAAAAAGAATGCATTTTTTAGTCCTATTTTTGTACTGTCAACTTTTTTCATCCACCATCATGTACTCTGCACATTCTGTCAATAGTTTGAGGTCATATGAGTTTGCATTCATACAGTAAATGTGCATGATTCTTATGTTCTGTGATCAAACACAGGAGGAGAATAACGAGAAAGTGGAAGATGATGATGGTGATGACGAGATGCTCTATGACGAGGACTTTGATGCAGAAGACGAGGCAGAGGAAGAGGATGGGGAGGGAGGAGGTCTGGAGGAGGAAGAGGAGGAGGAGGTGCAGGAGAGCACAAAGATGAAGATTCTGCGCAGAGTAGCAGGAGTCGCAAACAAACTCAAAGAGATCATCGGTAACCTCATCACAACCGCTGGACAAGTGGTGGTTACCATTCTACTGGGATTAACAGGTGTGCATGTGTGATAGATGTTTTCATATACACTACCATTCAAATGTTTGGGGTCGGTATGATTTCTAATATTTTATTTTATTTTATTTTTAAATGAACGATAGACTTTAGTTTATGTCACAAGCATAACCGCCATAAACCATAATTTGCGTCTTCAACCAAGAACCATCTCTTCTGATCCAAACATCTTTTTTAACATGATCAATGATTTTGCTGTCACTTTTGATCAGACGAATGAATAAAAGTATTAATTTCTTTCAAATAATAATAATTAGGGTTGCAGAGGGGTGGAAAATTTCAGGTACATTTCTGGAAACTTTCCCCAAAAAAATCCCTGGAATATTCCCAAAAATCCTGGAAAGTTTCCAATTTCTGGAAACTTTCCCAAAAAAAATCCCTGGAATATTCCCAAAAATCCTGGAAAGTTTCCAGTTTCTGGAAACTTTCCCAAAAAAATCCCTGGAATATTCCCAAAAATCCTGGAAAGTTTCCAATTTCTGGAAACTTTCCAAAAAAAATCCCTGGAATATTCCCAAAAATCCTGGAAAGTTTCCAATTTCTGGAAACTTTCCCAAAAAAAATCCCTGGAATATTCCCAAAAATCCTGGAAAGTTTCCAGTTTCTGGCATATTTCCGAAATTTACTGGAAATTTTCCACCTTTTTGCAACCCTAATAATACTAATAAAAAATTTAAACTTTAGAACAGTAGTGCAAAAGCAAAAGAGATAATTTTGCATTTCATTTATTTTATATATGTCATGCACATTTACATGCATTTCTGTGAAGAAATGTCCATCTTATATTTAATCCCAAAAATCAAAAGCAAATATAAAAAAAAATACATGAAAAATAGCGATTTTTTTTTTGGTAACATTAAGAATGTTTTTGTATTATTATTATCTTTTAATTAAGCACACCCTGTCCCTAAATATTCATTGGTTATACTCTGAAAACTATAAATATTATCCTGTTTTTTAAATTAAATAATTTATAATTAAATATAAAAAATTATGTAACAATCCACATGCTTCAACACTAACTGCGGTTACTGAAACCACGCCTTCTTTCTTTGCGTGCACATTTGGGCGGCATTATGCAAATATTTCCACATAGTGAGGTAGATATGTGGGGCGTGTTAGAACGAGCCGTTTTAGGGGGGCGTGGCAGAGTCTTAACTTTGATAAAGAATATCTCTTTGGTTTTGAGACTTTAGTCTTTGCAACTTCAGGGATCTTATCTATTCACAATCAGCTTGTAACACTCCAAAGAGAAAGGAAAACTTGAAATCGCATCATATGACCCCTTTAATGTAAAATATTAATGTACAAGTTCTAAATATTAAAAAATTGCATTATCAATGAAAAAGTCTGTCAGTAGAATACAAGTCTAATCTGTCTATGTTCTGGTCTCCAGGTGTCACGCTGCCCTCTCTGAGCTCAGCCGTCTACTTCTTTGTGTTTTTGGGGCTATGCACGTGGTGGTCGCTCTGCAAGACCTTCGACAAGCTGCTTTTCAGCTGTCTGTGTGTCCTCATGGCCATCTTCAGTGCTGGTCATCTTATCATACTTTATTCCAACCAGTTCCAGTTCTTGCAGGAGGCCATCAGCCTCAACGACAGCTACACCAGGTCAGATCATTTTTTAGCAACTGTTTCTTCATGTCATTCCAGACAGACTGGATGATGATCAGATCAGATCTCTGTGTGGAGCACTGGCTGTTGTCAGACAAAAATCTCACTGGATTATTACAATTAATGGCAAAATGAATGTTTGGACATGTAAACTGATATTTCCTACAGACACACTACAGCAAAAGATAAAAATTACCACCTTAAAACTGCCAGAATTTATTTTATTTTTTTGCTGGTGAAAATACTAGTGGCCTAAGACATTTGCACAGTAATGTATCATTTTTTCCCCATTAAATTTACTATTTGAACATATTTTTTCACTCCTTCACATTTTGTATGTTACATTTTGAATACTTTTTTTTTTTTGCTTTTGAAAATTGCTTTTGATGCATTAAGCCTGATACATAAATATAATCCGAAAACTCTTCAATCTTATTTCATGAAAATACTGTACATGGTAAAAAGTGTTCATTAATATTTTTGAACTCAGCATCATCAAATTAGATAACATTAAACCTATTGTTTGTAAATCAGCAAATTGTATATGCAGATAACTTGCTCCATATTAATTATTTATAAATCGGTGGACTTTGAATTCATGTTTATACGACAGTGCCAGTAATGCTCATATAATATGTCATATGTTTAATGTCATCATATGCATATTAATCTGCATCTGCTGTGTGCTTTAAATAATGAATGAGAATGAGAATACCCATCATGCCCTGCAGTGAAACACGGCCTTATTTCCTGTGTCTGGACTCTGATAGACACAATGTTCAGGCGACATACAGATAAAAGGTCCCGTGTCCCATCTGTTAGGTGTGTTCTGACAAAGGCCGGTCCACAAAAGAGCTGCAGAAGAACCACACACAGAGTTACACGCAGATCAAATGAATATAGCATCATTAATGCATTTCAGCCAAATGTCATGTATGTATATGCCAAAGGAATGACTCATTCAGCTTTTGAGTTTTGTGAACTTTATCACGAAATCCAAACAATAAATGGCGCTCTTTAATGTTGTGCGAGATCACTGTATCTTCAAGCAGCACGCGGACTGATGATCTCTTCCTCTTTACTACTAGTTATAGCATGAATAAACATGAATGAACATCAGTATATTGACAGATACAGTGCATTTTACTTAAATGTGTTATTAAATTTGAACCTGTGTTTCAGTAATAATACATTAATAAAATACTCAGTTACTTTTACCTCAAGAAAATTGTCCAATGTTCATATTTTGTTAGTGAGCTAGAAAAAAAACACTAGTGAGGAGCTTATTTTATATTTTTTATGAAAAATACCTTGAGTGCAACAGCCTTTTTATTGAGTGTGATTATTATATATAATAAATAGCAGTTAAATATAAGTATCAAATTAATATAAGTGGTTATTTTACTCATAGTTGTAATTGTAATATTAAATTGATGTACCTAATGAAGTGGAGGTATCCATTTGAGTTTAAGATGTTGTTCAGTTGTTCATTTATAAAGAATACTAAAGAAAACTCAAACTCAAAACAAGCAAAAACACTTACAGAGACAGAACTTCACAGTCTGATGTCACATTGATTGATGAGAATATCGTCATGTGCAGGCACGTGCAGAGGGGGGTGCGGTGTGCTTGAGCACCTGCCCCTTTTCCCCTTGGTTTTTTGTTTTTGTAATTAAACGCCCTTTTGTAAAGGCCTGCCCAATCTAGCTATTAGTAAAATAATAATAAATAATAATTTAGCCATAAATAAAATTATCCACATGATGACCTTTCACCTGACGATCTCATCCGAGACCATCCCTCACGTTCAGACACCTTTAGTAATTTAGCGCACCACATAATGTCCGTGGCTGCCGGTAAGTGGAGTTGTTGTTTACTTATATTATTAAATTATTATTATTTTACAAGAACGACGTGAAGAGAGCATGCACAGCTGTTTTTTATATTGCTGTGTGTAGAGTAACGTTATAACGTTAGCTGCAGAAAGGGGCTATAATATTTTTGTTCAATATTTTCCTAATGACAATTTTATGATTGGTTTAAAAAGGCTACTACGAACACCTTTTCCACATTTTTATCACAGAATAAGGCAGGAAATATATCTTATAGTTTCTATACTAAATTATATGTCAATCAGTACTGCATTATTCATATAGTTTATTTTTTTATGACCTGGAGAAAACTTGAAAAACACACATGAACCATATATTTTCGCAATCGTGTGTTTATTGTCTTCACGTTTCATCAGTAACGTTTCTGCTTTTTATTCAGCTCAGCTACAGCGATAGCCGGATGCTTTTGTCTATATTAGGGATTTCGTGCATGTCATAAGTTATTACTTCTATGAGTCTGTTTTGGACTTTCTGCGCGAGAGCACCCTCCGGCTTCGAGTATGAATGAAACATGCACTGCATGAGAGTGTTCAGCGATCCTGATATTCACTTCTCCTCATTTTGGATATGAATAAAACGTCAGGTCATGCAAAGACTATCGATACAGTCTCTTTGAATTTAAATCTAGAAACCTCTATGTGAACACACCTGCACGAATAAAGTGCAGGGGATGAATTTACATTTTATTAAATGTAAAATTAAAGGGGCACTAGAGGGACCTCGCCGAAGATGGCTGCTTAATCTGTTAGCTCCGTGCCAGTTCCCTTTTCTTTCCCATTCTCTTTCGGTTAAATTGACTCATACTCAAACGCAACATCAGCCACGAAGGGACTCCGCTGCACTTCTTCCAAGACGTATCCGCCGAGGTGCTGAAGAAACGCCGGGAGTTCGACGATGTCAGGAAAATACTGTCTGCCTGTGGCATGTTCAGAGGCCTTGCCTATGCTGCTAAACTTCGTTGCCTTCACAGAACTCAGATACATCTTTTTCCTCTCCAGTGGGCGTCACGGAGTTTCTGAAAGCTTTGGAAGATAAGTAATGTTCGAAGATTGCAACAGACACAAGTATACCAAATTGAAACTGGTTGGTTCTTTTATATACTCGAGTATGTTATGGTGTGACTCTCAATAATCTGAGGAAGACTTATTTTGAAATGGATACGTGGCCGGGATAAGTAAATATATATATATATTTTTTTTTTTTTGTGACATTTTTATACTATAACTGTTGCAAAAAATCTTCTTGCATTTTTTCTCTTTTCATTTATGTGGCCAT